GCACACCGTTCCTCTCCTCTCTTTTATCCCATTCTATTCCCTATTTCACTTAGTTGATGGTTTATACTACGCACAGTTATGTGCTTGCTTACGTCTGGCACTCGTTAGTACTGGCTCTACGTCTGTTCACCACTGTCTATGTTAGCTATTGTTGTGGATGAGTGTCTCTTGTAGTTGAAATTTGGTTTTACCTGGAATCGAACGCGTACGGTTAAGATGGATTTCAGGCCGATGCTCATCTGGTCACGACCAACGTCAACGACGTGATTCGATTCGGCACTTTTCTGTAGACATGTTCACTCTGCCGTTAGCTCCGAATTGCAAAAGTTTTTCATTAATGACTGCATGTTCTCGTATATGTTGTATCTAAACAGGTATACCTTGTAATCGGACCTGTGGTTCCTACTGCCGCCTTTGCTGTTTGCCGCAGTCCTGTTTTCCTTGTCAATACAGACATACCCACCATAACGTCCAAATATCGAATCCTCCCACAGACACTCCTAACTTCGAGTCCGCGAGACCGAATGGTAACGAACGTTGATTACGTGGAATCCATCATACTGCCCTGGTCCTACACCTCGTACCCGACCCACAAAAGTAAACAAGTACTTCATCCATCAATTCGTTCATGCAAACATCACAGTGTTTGACGGTACCAAAACCGAATCCACGATTACAATGTCTGTGACGAGTTGCCGGTTTTTCCGCCTGTCCTGACGACAAATGGAGTCTTATTATTTCGTCTCAAACAGATATTTGTGATCAAGTTGCTCGGTGAATTTCATTGCGAGCTTCTCGTTACTAATCGAGATGATATCATCGATGCCCAGTCGGTTAGCAGCGCCTCATGCGTAGGCGGTGCACCATTTAGCTGAATCTCTATGTCTTGAACATTTCGGCTGTCAGTAACCAGAACCACCGTAATAATGCACAATTCTTGTTTAAAAAAAAAACAGAAACGTTCCTCACATCCGTTTACAGATACCACCTGATAATTGACTTAATTTTTGGCTCTAAATAGTGTGGTGGATATGTCATACAACTATTGTAATTTGATAAGTACTTTGCTACTCGTGGACCGTATAACTAACCAGGCTCAATCGCAATCGCGGACGGACTCAAAGGACGTCGTTTGTCCACCATTACTTATTTTAATTCTGATGTTTGGTTTTTGTTATAACGATTGAGCATTTTCGTTTTGGCCCAGTTTTGTTCAAAACATATGTGTTGGTACCGAAGTATGCCCTTCTACCTAGTGACCAATTGATGAAATCCCGCGTGGGTGAAAGGACAGAGTTTGGAAAGAGCGCTTATTCGTATTTCGCCGCCTGGTACTAAAATTATTGTCTATGTTCCCACTATACCCGGTCCGTGGTTGCGTATGTACACGCGTGGGACCGAAACATGTTTATACGGCCCGGAGGACTGGATAAAATGCGTTGACCGTGAAACCTCTACCCCATTTAGAATGGTTTCAGGATTGCCTTAAAATAATCCGGATGGCGTCAGAGAGCTCTGATGAAGGGGAAGCCAAGCGTCACGCATTGTTGTGTAATATGACGGTCTGTGATGAGATTGGGGCGCATGGACTGATAAGCTCTCCAACCAGTCACTCGTGCAGGTGGTTATGAACATTGCTGATCCTATGGTGATTTGCGCGTCATCCCTCCGTCCCTTACTGTCTTGCCGCTCGTTTTCCAGTCCAATGGACTTACTGTGTGTCGTACCAAGTCAACATCATCATCGTCGTCAGCTGCAGAAACCGCGTCCTTGCGGTACGCTGGTTATAGCTGTCACAGTTTCTTTCGCCTATGATTTGGAGAGGTGGGTAGATAGCTGTGCATTGGAGGCGGTACCTGGTACAATTGATGCCTGAGTACAGGGGTGTCAGTTGGGGGAATCTAGGGAGGGAGCTATTCAGCTGACGCAGCAGCTCGGGTGTGTGAGCGCCATTGAGGGTGTGGTTGGGCTGTGTTCAACAATGTCTGTAACCGTTGATGCGTCCCGTCTCGGAGTCCTTATCCATGGAGATGCTAGTGACCAGCGCTAGTAATAGCTTTTATACTTCATTGCTAAGTTATTACTTGACTCCTCCTGTCTTGTTTCCATTCTTCACATGTGGGGACAGGTCTCTTCGAGCAATTCGGTCGACTGGCATACGGAGCGCGTGATCAAGCCAGCGCGACCTATGGAGTGTGATCCACTCACCCATAGCGGGTGAGCTAGTTCTTCCGAAAACCATTTAACCTACTTCAGCATTACTGATCCGGTATTCCAACCAGACTCCGGCAATGCTTCGGTTGTACTAGGACCGTCCGGTTCAAACAGGCCCACGTTAACTACTTTGCCTACGATTCATTCTTTGGTGCACCTTCTTAACCGCTGTTGCTGCAATGGTTATGGCGGAGTTTAACCTTCTTCCGATCCTTTTTAAGAGACATGAGGTTGCTAGCGGATTACAAACGATTAAAACTATTTTAGTGGTTTTTTGTCAACCTAAGATTTTGGGGAAGCGAACCTAGATGTAATGTTCGCCGTCAGCGGCTGACAATTAATCTGAGTATCAGTTGCAAATCGTACACAGGTGGTACAATGGTTCCAGTTGACGCACAGTTTTAAGCACATTTTTAAGTTTCATTTACTTATCAGGCTCCTCTGAAAACTTCTGCTTTGAGTGAAATCGGGAACTTCGGCCCCTGATATTCACTCGCCATCATAAAGTATTAGACGTAGTCATCTATGTACTGCATTACGTATATTTGAGTTAAGTGAAGATGTACACCGGTGATGGACATAAGCTTAGGAGCGGAGCTATTCGGGATCAACAAGCAATACACATTGTGAAGTTTGAAATATCCTCCGCGATTCCCGTGTTTGGCCAGAAAACTATTTCTGCTGGTTTGACAACTTCAAAATTTGTAGACTATTTGTGTTCCGTGTGATCTATTCCTCTTCTAGACGGATCACGTAACAATATTGGCCCGTCTTTTCTATCCATTTCTTGTGAGTAATTCTCTTGCTGAACCCAAGTGTCAGAAAAACTTCATCCCAGATAACAGAAAAAGCAATGTTAATTTCGAAGACTTAATCATTTACTTACAAGTAGTGTGATTCATTCTGTCTTTTGGTGCACTTCGGTGGTGCACATTGTGGTCCTTTTTGTCTATGACAAAATCCTTGGATAAAATTCGTAACAAGAACTACTTCGTATTCTGGATACAAATTTGGTAAGGATATTCATCAGTGACCGAGCTAGAAGACATCAGTCTTTTACGAGCGACCTGGGGGCCAAGACGGAACAGCAAATCCGTGGTCGAATGTAATATCAAACCAGAAGCGACTAAAGAACCTGTTAGGAGCTGGACTAATCACAGTCAGGCGAATTCGAACGGATGCAGACGTCGGAAGGACGTCCAGCAATACTGCTTGTACAAAACAGTTTTTCAATAAACCAAAATTTTCCGGGAGATAACTGAGGCTTTTTATCGGGCTCACGGCAGGGACCATTCAGGTTTATCTGAAATTGGAACCAGGGAAGGTCAAATTTACTGGGAGTGCGATTTGAAAAACTAATGGAACTGTTGTAAAATTGTCTGGGCTGGATGAGCGGAAACCCTAGGTACTAAGCCCTCGGAACACTGAGTAGAAGCGAACATTTCTGAGACCATATCAAGAGAAGAGTAAGGCCGGTCTGCAGATGCACGTAAGCTCCTGCCACACCTATATCCAATCACTACATCATCAGTATGTTTACTCTGTATTAAACAATTGAAGATTTTCGGGACAATAGCACACAAAAATAATAACGGTAATGGCCTCGTCTCACACTAAATAAGCAACCAATTGATTACTTAGACCGGAGTGATAGTGTGGTGTCGTTTGAGATCAATTCACCCGGTGGAGGCAAAAGGTTTCGCTTCTTGCACCTAGATCTGCATTAAGTTCGACTGGTAAAGCTTTCGTCCTAAGTGAAACGTTGCTCATCAGTAGATCTAACGATTACTTTTCAAACTTTCATAAAAGGGCAACTTCTCAGTGGGTTCCAGGCGTCTTCCGATTGATTGAACCATAGAATTTATCCTTTCTAGTCTGATGACTTACAAACGGTTGCTAACTTTTCTCAAACCAATAAAAGCTGCTCGCAATTCGTAGACTGCTTGTGTTATTCCTATTCGGGTCTTTCGTACCCTTCAAACTAATGTTGGATGTTTGATATATTTGCAAGCAAATGAGAATATGATTGGTTGCGACCCTGCGTGCTCACTTGCGAATTGGCTAGGTGCTGACACGGGACCCGACAGAGTCCCAGATGAATTTTTCGACTGAATAAGTTGCACAAAACGAACTTCATGTTTCATTTGGAATATGATGCCGAAGTAGCAAGAAAAATATCCAGTGAGATTACAACTTACTGAAAGATCACCTAAGAGACACAGCAACATAAAATTTGTTTGAGACAGCACTACCCATCGAACAGCTGCGACGAGGATGTGGACAGTGGTCAAGTGACTGACTGACCTCTGGTTCGTTCGGTTACTGGACCCCAAACCGCACCACCAGTAGTTAATGGTGTGGTCAGTACTGACAGTTACACCACACAATAGACATACCACCTAGCACCGAGCACAAGTCACGGTACCTTCAATGTACCTAAAGTGTCAGGTGTCCAGGCCTCGGTTGACCAACCCATTTGGTATTAGGTCAACGAAAACCAAAAACCAAGGACCCTGGTCTGTACTCAGTCAATGAAAAAAAAACGTTTAAAATCGATCGAGCAGCAGACATATCAAAAGTGGAAAAAAAGAAAACGTACCTAATGACTGTCTGTCGAACTTTTCGAAAAGATTCTGATCTGTCATCCGAAATGCTAGAAACTGAGCTTTCTAGGAAAAATCCACATACAATCGTCATTATATTTTGGTTAGTGTAACCGTTTTGTTGCACTTCAATTCCCCATTTGTTGTTCACCTGTCTCAAGAAGAATTTGAAAACCAGCACATGGCAAGTGGACAAAATACGTTTATTGACTCGGTTTAAAAAACGGGAAAATCACATTTGATCGCCTCGGAGTGTCGAGTTTGAAAACAGTGGGATAACATACCAGAGGAAGCACAAATCGTACAAGGGTTCGGTACGGCAGTACCGTTTTCAGCAACCCACACCCAGGCAAGAGAGAAACACAGCCGGCCAACAACAGTTAGTGACGTGCTAACGCACAGCAGGCTGCCTTTGGGGTTGGGTCACATTTAGTTGGCGAAAAACCTGAAGAGTTCTACGGAAATCTGACTGACTGACCGCGAAAACGCACGGTGAGATAGAAGGTAGAAAGAGACCTGTACAAGCATATTTTTCTTGAGGTCAGGCTCAAGTGTTGGAAATGGTAATTAAGTGGCCGAGAAGGAGCAATGTACAGGAGTGGTTCATACGCACATAGGGAGTGTGTAAGTGCGATCGAAAAGCACTCAAGGATTGTTGGGAGGACCAATGCAGGATAATTCAGCGATTAATTCAGTGTACCACGACAAGTAGAAGCGCCACACTGGCAAGGAATCTTTTCTTCTTCATATGGAAACTTGTAGTCGTAGGTGATCTCTTCCATGACATTGATATCGCGTTTGGAGTAGATGACGATCTTTTTCTTACCCTCCACTGTGATTATCTTTGCATAGCAATTTGGCTAAAACAAATACAAAGGCGCAGGTTAGTCGCTACTCGCGTTTTTGGAAGTGAAAACAAGATTGACGAACTGGTTTTTACAGAGAGACGGTTAATCTGGTGACCTTACATCCACCGGGTATTAGTATAATGACCAGAAACATTGAAACGCAACGAATGAGCCATCAGTGAATGGATAGATTGAGAAAGGGTTCAAATAGGATCAAAGTCGCCGAATGTCCTGCTGTGCATGCTCAGTAGGATTGTGAAGTTTATGACTCCATAGTTATTTCTGGGATACGGGTGACTTGCTGGTATCGATGGTATTGCATTTTTCGGAAGCACCTCGCGCTATTCGTAGGAAAAAACAAGTGGAACAACCAACAAGCTTCACAAGGCGTGAGGCTTCCAGTACCACTTAGAACTAACAGACTTGTGGTTGTGACCGCTGGTTCGAGTTAACCCCGGATGGAACTGGAATAGGAGGACAGGTGTTTTTCATTACTTACTCCAAAGAGCTCAGAGTTGAATCAGGTCTTGCACTGTCAGAACTGAATCACAATGATGTCAGGTCAAGAGGTAAAACCGAGGGTTCATTCAAATAGGATCCAAAGAAAATTCGACCTACCTGACAACTGTGGTTTATAAACCTTCCGTTGTTACCGCACATTGTTGCATCGATAACGAAGTCATCATCGATGCGAAATAAGTACGAGCCACCAATTCCTTTGGCCTCGTATTGTCGTTCACGCAATTCGGCCACACTTTTGCGCACCACCTGTCCCACATATTCAATAACCATTTCCTCGGCGGCGATTGGCTCTAGAGCGATCAGACCCCAGGCATGAATGGGCGATTTCGCAAAAATAAGCTGTTTTTTCCTGAACTGTGAAAAAGAAAATTGAACACGTAAAACAAAACTTTGAAGAAATGGTACAGAAAAATGAGTACAAATCATTCTCAGGAATAGTGGTGATCTTGGCAATCTATTGATGGCTTTTCCTCCATCTTCTCTCACACTTACTACACCTTACCTCAAAATCCACACGTGTGAAGAAGTTCAGAGGTTTCTCCCGAGAAATCTGCACAAATGCTGTTCCTCAAGATCACCTTTCCAACAGTTCACGAAAATGACAATAGAGGGAGGTAGCTGCGCTGTAAACATCTCCAATCGCTGCATGTACAATACCTCGCTAGATTGTTCTGATTCCTCATAATATAATCAAATTAATAAGTGAAGTCGCATACTTTAGGAGGGAATTATATGCTTTTTCACTACATATGATAAAATGGCAAACCTGTCGGACTGACCGTTGGATTCTCCAAATGCTGCAGTGTGGTGCGTATCCTGCTGATATTCGTGATTCTGAGGAACTGTTGTTTAGTACTGACAAAAGTGAGTATCTAGCGGCACCATCTGAAAGTCCAATTTGTGTGTAAAGTGGTTGCGGGTGCAAACACGACAGCAGTTGGTAAATCAGGGTGAGAGAAGAGACACAACAGTGTAACCGTCTGACGTCGTCTTGTCAGTAGGCAATTTTGGTGTGCTGGTTGTTCCATTTGTCGCGGACAACATGCAACTAAGACCCATTGGCATGTTTTCCATGTTTCCCTCCGGGATGCACGACCTATCTTTCCATTCCTTCGAGTTGGGGTCTGCACCAGCAAACAGCACGTCAACAGACCAGCTGGTAGATGACCGGGCCAGAGTAGTCGATAGAGCCGAACCAAGTGGTCGACTGGACCAGCAGTTGATTTATTGCCAAAAAAGGCTTGTTGCTAATCCAACATTCCATCGGTTGCTTCAAGAATAGTGACGGTCAAAAACAAGCAGTCTTTTACTTCAAGGTAGGAGTGATCAACCTTCGCGCCCGGAAAACAACACTAGAGGCACCGTCAAACTGTAGACTGTACTTCACCGACAGACTAACATCCCCTCAATAATAGAGATGCCCAAGTTGAAAAGCAAAGCGGGCTTTGGCGACCCTATGGTCCACCTGTTGGCAATGCTGCCTCCGACATGGCGGATAAATATCTCCATTAGTAGTTCTGGTGTTCAGCTGATTTACTCACCCAGCCTTGTGATACCATTTTTCACTTTGAAAGTAAATTGCACAATAAAGCCATTTAAAATATTTCGTATTTTGCATCCGGATGGAATGTGAGCCAAGTAGTACAATATCTATTGTTTACTTCAGGTTTTCAAGCCCGTTTCAGGAGAGGCATTCCATGCCGGAGGTGGACACAGCGAAGGTTTATTTGACAGGTAATCCTATTGAGTAAAAACAGATTTGACAGAGAACGCACTGACGAGAACCACATTTGTCGACGGATTCATGGAGCTTACAGTTATTGGGGTACAAATGTTGGAGAAGCGTGAGGCAAATGTTAGGAACAGCGTTGAGGAGGGCGCCAAAAGCAGCGTGAGCGACCATCAGTTTGCCTTGCATATGTGGCAGCTTTCGAGAAGTTGTCGCAATTAATTCACCCACAGAATTCTGCTTGGTTTTCAAGATTCGGCTTCTCAAGAGTGCTTGTGAGCTTGCGTAGGATATCTGTCAGCAAACTAAATGGCTCCAAGTGGTCCATTTTTTCGTAAGACTGCGAATTACCCTCCCCTATCCAGTCACAGTAAGGTGCAGTGATCCTCTTCTAAGTTTCGTGCTGTTCACAGTCAATCATGAGCCCCATCCGCAACAGCAAAAAACAGTGCTGAAAAGAGTATATGGGGAGGGAAAATGTTGTAGCCTATTCCAAGGATTCCTAATGGCCTTCAGACTATCAACCGGACAGTATGGAAAAAACTGAACGTCACTGATATCTGTTAGCAGTAATACATTTCTGTGAATCCCGCAAGCCCAAAGAGAATCACGGATGCCCAATCCTGGACCCAGTCTCTTTCATACCCTTCTGTCGATTCAAAAGCTGTCCACCTCGCAGCCTGCACCATTGTGAAGGAGGAAAGGAGAACAGTATTAGTCTCTCTGTAGACGGGAACTCGGTACGCATAGGACATGGCCAAATCGCCTCGCTGCGAAACCATCGACGCTATCAAATACCAACGTTCTTAGAAATCAGTTGCCGAAAACCTGCACGCAGCAGTCAATTCTCAAAATCATACAAAGCATCCCTTACTGTAGCCTGGTACATGTGGCCATTGAAATCAAATGATATATCCTTTTCACGCCACCAGAGATGCACATTGAAAAACATGATTCGGGCCTTCCAGATTCGTGCGCCAACCCCATCAGATACAGCGTCAGGGTCAACAAAATTACCGCGGTATGTGCAACCCTTCGTACCCCCTAGTGCTTCTACTTGAGTTGCAAATGACATGTTCAGAGATCGCATATTCTGAAGCGTAACATAACACGTCTAGGCGCAAGGCGTATACCAAACAGTGGCATAATGATGAAAAGATTATACAATCATGCTTGCGCTTCATTTGCTTTCAAAGGTTATGGTGAGGTTTGTATGCTCCGGTTGGACAAGGTCCTCACTAGCGACAATTTGAACACCACGGTTTTGAGGACAAACCAGTAATCAACTCATTAATTGATCGATGAGGTTGAACGAAGATGGAGATAACGGACGGTCTTGCCGAAAATCACCTTTTGTGAAGGAAATTTTGGAGAGCTCACCAGACACTCTTGTACGTCCATATGAATATAGAGGGGTATAAAGAATATGGAGATAATGTTCACAAACTCCTGGGGTATCTCCTGTTGAACAGGTGTAATTAGAACTAAACAATTGCCATAAGCAAATATACCCTTGAAGTCAAGGAGCATGAAGATTGTTAGTGGTCTGTTGGTGGCGCTCACGGAGTGCAAAGGTGCAGCTGATGCAGGCTCGGTCGTTCTGAGTCCCTCCTGATACTTATGGTCAGGAGTTGGACTATCAAATGAATATAACGAATCAATAAATCAGTTGAAACAGGAGTCAAACTGAAACTTCTGTGGTTGTTCTATTCCCTGCGCGCGACCCTTTTGAGGAAAGGCATTAGTATTAACTGACCTCAATTGTCTGAGACGGACTCCTACTCTTATGTGCACGTATACAAGTTATCTGAGCAGTGGCAGGAATTTTCCATCGTCCGTGAAAAGTTGTCGGCATTAGGTGATCGTGGGCTCTTGAGTAAGTATACAAACTCCTTTGAGTTTGAGGTGGATTTCTACAACGGACCGTCAGCTCATATAGCAGTAAAAAGCTGTAATTCGACATATTCTGTCCAACTGCCCGAACGTGGCGCTTGAAGGTACCACTGAGAAAGGTTTCTGGAGACCAGCTGAACTCATCAAGTGGAACGATTCGCAGACATATTCGGCACTATTACACTCCTCCGGCTTGTTGGATCCATCCCAGACCGCCCGTCGCTCGGTTTTACCTGACGTCGCCTAAGGGAATCTGTCGCCTGGTCTCTAGCGGAGTCCTGATCTTCACAGAGCAATAGGAAGCAGCAATTGATAACTGGATGGTCAAAGTCCAGTTAGATATTACAGAAGGAGCTGTAGGCATTGGTCGATCCTTGCCATTGATAACTGATGGACATGTGATCTATTTGGATCCGGGGCTATTTCATTGGTAGATACCATGTGGTCAAAAGATTTTCTCTATTCCGGAAACTGGTATCGGAAAGCAATAGAATGTGATCAGCATATATCTGCAGTAAACGCACCTGGTTGTCCGTACGTATCGCGTCGATCTACGGGGTTACGCAACTGAGCTTCAACATCACTAAGTCTGCTTACTTGGGAGACTATCTCGCCCAACAACAACAATCCATGAGCCTTTAATCCGTTGTAGAACATCTGAAGCCTAAGGTAAACTGTTATTGGCGAATTCACAGCTACGGCCAGTTCGGCACAAGCAGATACAACAAACAAAGAAGGATGGGTTCTTTCGCAGATGAACCAGGGTATCTAGTCGAGTAGAGACACTACTACGCATCGACTCAACACAGCACCCATCCTAGCAAATTCAGCGTCGAACGTCAGTGGAAGCGGAGAGGGGTACGGGACAGTCAAATTCAATTACAGCACTGGCATTCTGGATCCTAGTGTCTGAGAGACAGCAAACTTTAACGCAAGGGGGCAAGAGCAGTTCGTCGTCCTGCTTGCTTCGGTTGACGAACATCAAAGGCAGCTAAGCAGAACGTCATCGATCGGTTCGAATACTGAATTCCAGGTGTTTAGGGTTGTTACGGAAGACGGAGCATGATGCGGGGCGAACAAAGCGGTCAAACTCAGCACACTAAGGTAAGAGGTAGAAGAGCTAAGAATGCGTGAGGGTGAGAAGGAAGACGCCAGGAGTGGCATGGTTTCGTTTACCCATCCTATTGTACGCCGCAGATGTGACCCTTCAGTCCATGGCATCAAAGCATCTCTAATGATGATGTTCACGGTTCCGCGCCAGCACTTTCAACGAACAAAAGAAGCACACAAAGCACCCCTCATTCAGCATGCGGATAAGATAAGAGGTGGCTCACTGAAGAACATACGGCTCTTCAAAAGCTCTCGGCATCCTGGATACCTCAGCTTCGTCAGAAGGGTGTTCATGTACAGGCACTCCACCACTGGGTTCATCCTCTGATTCCAAGTGAAGATCTCGGATGCGGACGACCATCTCGTCCCTTTCGCAGCATGGCAAATTGAGAGGTAACCTGTTCACGCGGTCTTCTGGAAAGCCCGATTACACTTGACTCGGAGGATGTTCGCGCAATGACCGGGACGAAGGCAGTCTGAAGTCCTTGGCGAAATTCGCCTTCGCGTACAACCTCCATGGATCACACTTCTGCCCATATGGCAACTGTCCAGGAGAAAATGTCCCCGCAACTCTACAATCCAACATTCGTAGTTGGAATTATAACACTTGCTCTGATCATCCAGGAAGCAGAGAATCTCGAAAAGAAGTTATTCAACGAACCGATCGGATGCGAAGAATAAAGGCGCAACAGAAATCGCATGAGCCAGTGTCAGTTAAATTAATAGCCATTAGACAGTCTCGGAAAATTACCCAGAAGCAGGCAGATAAGGAGCGAGTATCCACACAACCGAGCGCTGATGATGGCCCCCTGACTGGTAATAAGACGTTTGCAAGCTAATTGCCAAGTCTGGTGATTAGATTAACAGTCACCTGATGAATTTAAAGAACGGAGCCGAATTTTTAACATAAATGTATGAGCGAGAAACACTTTTCAGCAAATGCACTTTAGGGAAGACAGCAAGTTAGCCTAAGGACCTTAAGTCAAACGACCGACTGAGAATACAACAGTAGGAACTTAAATGGGGACTACATCAGTAAATACTACCGAGTGCAGGGATGTGAAAAAGCGACAATAGGATGAACCGTTTTCATACCAATAACCATGGGTACCATGGCAAACATTGATAGAATGCAAAAGCCAATGGTAAATGCGGACGCAAAGCACTAATTGCAACGACCGTAGGATTACCTTGAGTTGATTGAATTTCAACAGATCACCGGTTTCAATATCTTGAAACTGGGCGAGCAATCGCCTTTGGGCTGAACGAGCCTCCCGGAACTGCGTCAACTGTTTCTTCTTTGCCTCCGAAGCCTGCTCCGTCAGCCGGTCTTCGATGCTACCGCCGATGGCTGGAAGCAAGGCATTTAGAAGAGTACAGAGTCAGGAACGTAATACGGAGCGACATCTCATAAACAACCTGATGAAACGTGAGAGCATGAAATTACAAACAAAATCACCTTAGGCCTAAATTCGAGAAACATCATATACAACATCCACGGGGGGCGCAGCTTGTTTCTTGAATTAATTATGATCACCCATAAGTATACTGGTTATTCTAGTGAGTAGACAGTATTTCTTTTGGTTGTAGGAAACAGCGCACGAAAAGCACACCTTTGGCTCCGGTCTGCTCTGCTTTCTTGACGAGATGCATTTTACAGTAGGATTGTCCCACTTCACTTTCGTTCGTCTATGAACCTGGTCGTGAAAAAAGGTCACGATAATAACGTCGGTCTTCATGGCCAGAGAGTCGCTGCCGTACCGCAATGAAGCTTTGGGTTAATGAAAACCTGATGAGAACAAAATGGGACTCTAATGTGGTAAAGTATCAAAGACGAAAATCATCAGCAATGAGACATTCACGATGGAAACAGTATATAGTTTCAGATGTCTACCACGGCACTTTCATCAAGGCCCTAATATAATTAACTTTCAGCTGAGGCCTATAATGCATGACGAATGAGAAAAAATTCACACCTTGAATGACTGCATTCACACCAAGCTGAGCTTCAACCGTGGCAGGCATTAAAGGAATTGGACGTCGGCGACCATCTTCCGCGATCAGACTGCGTCCAACAGACCATGCCCTACGAAACCGTTCTTCCGTAGGCATCCAATAGAACCCCTGAGTGCGAGCGCAACCTGAAGGCAGAAAAACACAAAATAAAACAATAACCGTCCAGCTGTAACACACTTTTGGAGCCTATTTGCCATGCCACCCCAGTGGTGCACGACGGCTGAGCTTGGGTTCGAACCACGGTCAGTAAGTTGACACCTGAACCAATGAGATGACTCGAACTCAGCCAGATGGAATTGATAAGGGAAACTTCTCTGTGCGTTCATTTACAGGTCACATTAGAATTCAAATGAGTGCGGAATTGGGTTTTCTTTCAGAGACCCTAATGACTATACTGTTCAACGATACAAATGAAAGAAGGGATTAGACCATATTGTTAATGAAAACACACGACAATCAAGTCCGAGCACGAGGGGAGACTAGGAACAGAGTCTCTTAAATGAGTGAATACAGGATAGGTGAGGGAAGCCGTGGAACCTGAACAAAGGTCTTCAGCAGGTTGTACAGTAGAACGCATTCGATAAATCGATAGCAGTGGTATTTTGTAACATAGACTAACATCTAGCGGAAGAACCAGTTAGGCATCAAATTAAGTTTCAAGTCAAGATTTCCTCCAGAGTACAAAAATCAATTATCTATTCAATCTTCAGACGTCACTGTGTATCCCACGTCAACTCCAACTTTCGTTAAATTACCGACGAACTCATTATCTGTTCTATGCAGCTCTTGTGGTAGAGAATATTGACAGTTCATAGTTGAGTTTCATAATTTTATTGCGAGCGTCTACTAACCAATGTAGATGACACCGTCAGTGTAGTGGTACGTTGATGCACTCCCACAGACCATTATTTCCTGACGATGCCACCTTCACTGGTGAGGAAACGTTTACCAACGGCGTGTCAGGCTCAGACAACAATACACTGGCAACAGTTCATCGGTAACAGGGAGGGGAATTCGAGGATAGTGGTCACCACCATAAGCTCATATGAGTTGATATTTTAATTCACAAAGGAGATCTCAGGGCTGACGATATTCCAAAGAAAGTCAAATGTGACGTGCGCAACATCACCGACAACACGACATCCGTGTTCAGCAATGACGCTTCAGTGTCGTATAATCGTAATTTATTTGAAGGCCTTATTGTGAACAGAAGAATAAAAGTTTATAGAGAAGGGAGCGAAGTGCCTACAGCATCAAAAACTGACAGCGAGAACGCCATTGGCATCGATTAGCAGCCATATTTGCAACGTCTGCAAATATGACTAAAAAAGGTCACGTGGACCCCATCCTGGTAGCATCTGGAATTTATTTATTCCCTTTCATGCCCTCTGCTAGGTCAAAGGTCGATCGCGCTTTCACTTGTGCCGTTCTGAATCGGAAATGGAACGCAAAATCCTTTTCAATAAACGATGATTCGACATGCGCAATACATGACTAAACCATAACAGATTTTCGTGCTGCACACGTTCTTCGACTGAAGTCGCAGAAGCAAAGTTTCACATTCATATAAGACAGCCGGTTTCGTAGCCTGGTGCGCAAGTCCCTTGAGATTCAGGGATATGATGATTTGCTGTCAGTGTTCGTGTCAAATTAGCGATTGTGCGACCCTGAAAATTTATTCAACGACTTCATCTGTCACAATACGACAAGGACTCATAGGTATAAAGAACAACCACTAATCATTCTAGCAACAAAACACTTAGAAATTATATACATGCCGCATTCCGTTCGTTCACCTCGGCGCCTGAGCCCAGCTGTAAGAGATGAAATAAGACAAAACTGGCAAAATAGTACATACCGGAAGAATGGATCGGTGGCAAGGATGCTGCTGGGCCCAAGTGAATGTCGATATTATCTAACTGGACATCCGATGGTAGCCCGGAAAATCTTAGAGATGAGGTGAATGCAGCGACAGCAAAGAGAAGGCGGTCGAACTTAAGCCAACTTTGTGGTGGAACGGGATCTACGCGAACGAGTTTCTTGTCTTGGATATTATTCACTTTGATTGAGGTGGCTAAGGGCGCGCTGTTAGCTGACTGAGTAGCAGGGGGCTCCGTTTTCGGACCAGAAGAACGATCAGACAGGTCGGTTGATGAGCTGCTATCCGAGCCGAACAGATCACGAGTTACATTCCTCACGACACTGTCAGGATGCGAAGAGCTGAAGGATGCCAGTCGCATACATCTGGACGATTTGGTGGGTGACTCTTTTAATCGTTTGAGCCCACCTACCCTGCCAGAAGTTCTGGCACTGTCGCAACTAGGTTCCTCCGGGAAACGAATAAGGAGACCATTATGGGAAAGATAAGTTGGGATTTCGAAGGGATCAGGGATAAGTGTGGGAGGGTGGTCGACCCAACGGAAATTGCCCAACGAAGGCGTCAGCTTTTGCGATCCTTGTAGGTACGCAGAGTATTTGGGAGTTTTACACCAAGTACACCAAGAACTGGGTGAGCAGTTGAGCGAGTGTTCACACACCATCTGGAAGAACATGATATCTTCCGGGTCCGCACCACGGAGAAGTATGGAACGCAAAATCTGAAGAAATGTGGTGGAAAGACATCAAATGAGGACGTATAACAGACCAGAAGAACGATCAGACAGGTCGGTTGATGAGCTGCTATCCGAGCCGAACAGATCACGAGTTACATTCCTCACGACACTGTCAGGATGCGAAGAGCTGAAGGATGCCAGTCGCATACATCTGGACGATTTGGTGGGTGACTCTTTTAATCGTTTGAGCCCACCTACCCTGCCAGAAGTTCTGGCACTGTCGCAACTAGGTTCCTCCGGGAAACGAATAAGGAGACCATTATGGGAAAGATAAGTTGGGATTTCGAAGGGATCAGGGATAAGTGTGGGAGGGTGGTCGACCCAACGGAAATTGCCCAACGAAGGCGTCAGCTTTTGCGATCCTTGTAGGTACGCAGAGTATTTGGGAGTTTTACACCAAGTACACCAAGAACTGGGTGAGCAGTTGAGCGAGTGTTCACACACCATCTGGAAGAACATGATATCTTCCGGGTCCGCACCACGGAGAAGTATGGAACGCAAAATCTGAAGAAATGTGGTGGAAAGACATCAAATGAGGACGTATAACACAGATTGAAGTGAAAATGTGGGGGGGGGGAGTGTCGAGAAGTCAGATAATTGAGCTCGGAAATTGCCCTTTATCAGGCAAAAACCTGAAAGGCCATGAATTTATGATGCAGTCAACTGCTTCTGGAGATGTTCGCTATAAGGTGAAAGTGCTTTCTTGAAAGCTTTTGCCATCAGGAATACTGTCTCGCTGTTTATCTAAAGCCTTCCTGGACTGGACAATATTTAAATTGTACATGTTTCCGTCCCACGCAATACAAATTTGCTTTGGTTCACATTTCAATCAACACAGTAGGACTGATTTGCATTCCAGATAGACACACAAAGGAGTACTTGAGAATAAGCGACGAAAATCACGGCACCAAAAAAATCTGTTTACGTGAAGGTCCCCCGCACTCTGGACTATGCTTTCTATCAGTTTAGATGGACTGGAAAGATGCCCTGTGTCGCACATCATGATCAGCTGTAAAAACCAAGCACACGTTACACAATCGTTATGGTTGTCAAGGTCTCGTGCGCTGATGGTTCCGGCAGGCAGAATAGAAGGCTACCAATTGGAGGTGATATCTGAGTCAATCAGTGGGTAAATACACGGGAAGCAAGACCTCTCATTGAAGAGAGATCTTGTTACATTCGCTCCCATGTCAACGGAATCAACGAGAGACTAAGTGCATCTGAAGATACACAAGTTTTTAGGCATAGTAATCTTCACAAAATTGCACGTATTAGACACGGAATCCGGTTAGAAAAGTCCACCCGCACAGAAACTAATGCTGGTAAGGGCATTTCACTAAATGCCGTTGAAATTGCAGGATAAGATGTGCAAACATATCACGGAAACAGAAGTCGTTTTTATGAGTGCTAGCGCTATAGGTGAGTTCCGGAACAAGAAGACGTGCATATACGGGCAAGCAATTACAATACCGGATGGGAGCACCTCACTGCAATCGCCCACACTGTCTGAAGGATTAATTATGACTGGAGTAAAGTGACTCCTACAGAGTCGAATTCTGTAGTTATTCGGATAATTGGAACAGGGTAACCCCTGCAGACTGTGGATTTGTTTATCCTGGCTGAATTGCCGAGCTAAACAAATTCGAGCTGCTTAGGGTTTATGATGAAAATTATAACGTTCGGTTGAGTATGGCAAAAAACGGTTAGTCCGTAATACATGATGGTCGGGAAAACGTTATCATGTTGCTGTGTGGTATATTGACCGCACAAGTGTCTTACATATAGGTCCATGTCCCTATCATATTCATAGCCAATGTTGACTACCGATGCCTGACTGTCACTCAACTATGAGTAAGTTGAGTAGAAAATGGGGGCCAAACGGGGCCTAATGCTGGTCTTCAACAGGTGGTGGTAACTCAGCATATTGTCCTCGGATATAAATGATGAACGGACAAAATTATACGAGAGAAAATGATTACAAGTAGAACAGGAAGATACGCGGAGCTCACATATTCTTCCTCCTCTGGGGAACGGGGACTGAAGGTTGGAGTTTCAGGTTTAACCTCGTCAGAAGATAGCAAGTTTGTTGGCCTTTTTGACGGAGTTGCCAGATTTTCACGTTCCAGATCGGCTTTCACGACCGGAGTGAACAAGCTGGCCAACTCACGGTTGCCACGAATCCGAACTTTTGGTTCCATGTACCGAGTTATCTCTCGATCAGGCTTGAAGTACTGTTGTTTAGGAATGTGCTCATCCTCGGGAAGGAACTGCGCCGACTCCAAGTCCATATTTTGGTGATTCACGGGGGACATCAAAGCTTGCTTTTTGTTTCGGAACCAGGTGGAGTCAGAGTCCATTTCATCAGCATCTGCAGTCATACGATTTGAATGATCGTTCGACTGCAATGGACGCTTACGGCTACGATCCACCAACGAGGATCGCGAACGTTCAGAATCATCGCTCTTAGTGACCGACTGCACAGAGTCGGGGACAATCTTCAACGATATCCGTGAACGGTACTTTATGGTACTTCCGACAGGTGGCAGATGAAAGTAATTGTGCTCCAGTAAAAGCACTTCTGGCCAGGAATATGGTTTCCGAACGGTCTGAAGCAGCAGAAATAGGTGCACTGAATACTCAGCAGCGAGCAAATTGAACAAGAGAAGTTTCAAAATCAACACCAAAACTGCTTACATCAACAACTTCAATTGAGTCGTTTGACGCGCTATCCGTTTCATCGCCGTCGTGTCGAGAGAATCGCATTGTGTCCTTCCAGTGGTCCATGGGTGACAGCAAAGAATTTTTCAAATGCTTTAGAGAATCTCTTGGTTGGCCATGCCGTTCGTGGTCGGGCTTCTGTTAAAAGAGACAGGACTCGGTAAGGAAGATGTAGACTCGCTATGAACAGAGTGGTCTGTATACAACTGAAGGGTGTTTCTGGCATGAACGCCCAACAAAGGCGAACTATACCAACATGCCTGTCACAGTTTCGTACACCTCAAACTGGGACAAGTGAGAACGAATGCTACGTACCAATGCAGCAGATGTAATTGTATCAACGACTGATCGGAAATAACGAATCTCGACACGGCGGACACCTTTAGGTCAACACTCAACCGTTATTACTGACGGATCTTTGGCTCTGTATGCGGCCGGACAAAACTTTGACTGGTTGATAGGGCTTGCTTACGAGCCAAACTGCCTTTAGAAAATAACTGAATTCATAATTTCCGTGCTTGCGCTGATCAGTGGCATATATCTACGTCCCTTCCTCGAGAATCCTGCTAAGTTTTCTGTTGAAGTGTTTTCCACCTATCACGACCTATTATTCGCCGAATCTCAGCTGCCAGTCCCGCGACCAGAAGGCGCCAGGAATTTCAGAATGCTGTTGCGCCATATACTTTCTATACGACGCGCTGTACCTGAGATTTGAGCGTTGATATAAGGTGCGCATCTTTAGTGGTTGTTTTTTGAGGGGAACGGTAGCTTGGGAGGTTCAGACCGAAAGCTAAGCGGAGGAAAATACCGTTAATATACTTGATCAGCAACCTGGGCCTTTTGCTCACCTTCGAAGATAAGAACGATGTCATCGCTATATTCAAGGTCAACAAGGTTTTCGGCAACAGCTATTCGAACAGCAGGGTTTTGAAAATCTTACAGAGTTCATCCCATTATTTCGTCGACCAAGAAAACGAATAGAAACAGAGTGGTCGTTCTAGCCGGATGCCATTGTGTATGGAAACCGTCACACACAGGAATTGTCAGTAGTAGCAATAAAAGTAACTGAGAAATATTTGAAAAAATGACTGAGCTCCGGGAGTGGAAATAAAGGTCTTGAAGGTTTGAAGACAAAAAATCAGATACCCACAGTCACAGTTCCGTGGGGACGATCAACCAGAGGTGTGTAATCCTTGTCGGGATGTAACCGATCCATGTGCGATTTTGAGAATGCATTTGTATTGTTTACGGGGAGACTTTCACGGGGTCCTCGAAGGTCCGAGAGGCTCTGCTTCCGTCGCGAATAGCTTAATGGAAAGCCAGACTGTGCATCGCGTTCACACGGTGAATGCAAAGATGCACGGAGCGTGGACCAGTTGTCAGGACGAGATGCGGACATTGGGTATCTCGAAGGTTCGGCTAATTGACTACCTTCATCTGTGGATGTGCCACGGTCCTTGGATGGTTGGCAAACAGAAATAATAAAATCAAGTGGGGAAGAATTTGCTGTGGGAAAAGTTCAACGATTACGGAAAGCGTACATCCGCGTCTAATTCCAAACACAAATATGTTGAGCTTATCGTTGTCTGATCACTACTGGATACTTACGAAATTCATAGAAAATGAGAACAAATGAGAACAAATAAAATAAAACTCTAAATAATCATAAGTAGAATACAGTGAGAAACAAAACCAGACTAGGCTGTGAAAAGATTGATACAACCAACTCGTTCCCAGAAACTCTATGACCAGTTCAAAGAAGCACTGGCAAGGTTACTGAGGGCGAAGATATCCACTTAGCTACACACGTACCACTCCAGCTCGATAATACGTAAGGAGGAAAACTTTCCGACTTATGTTCTGACTAGTGGCACCTGGCCTAGATAGATTCGAGTGTTTAAGGTAACGCACACGATGATACACTGATAAGCCAAGGTCAATCAGCAACAATATGCATTTGCACAAACAGCCTTTCGAATGTAGCACCCTTTCGGGGCCTAGCTGCCATGCAATCCGAAGGAAGCACGATGTCTGGGATACTGGCAGGTTGCCAAGCCTAGACAGGTGAAGTCGAGAGAAAGAGGTCAGGTCCGAACTGCGGGCCTTCCGGTCAGTAAATTGGCACTCTAACCACTGAGCCATCTCGCCCCCATGAGCAAGTGTAAGGAGTGCGGAGTGAAGCTGGTCTGTAGAAAAATAATAACAGCATGAGTACCACCGATTGTTGAGGACAATGTGGTCATGGAGATTACTCTTATTAGGTAGTTTATCTTTGGAGGTGAGCGGAAAATGCCAAGTTGCAGAGTCTAAGCCGATAACTATATCGCTTGACTACTGCACCAACTACAAGTAAACGGTCCCGTGAATGTACACAACTGTGAATCGCTGTTGACCAGTGAATCCGTTGTGGCTGCCAGCTACTCAAGTGGTACAGAGACTAGCACGATTGTTCACTTATCCGTATCGCTTAAATTGCAGCAGAGATGATTCCAATACATGCGCTAGTTTTTGTCAATAATACTTCCTTCGTTAAAGAAGGTCCTCTAAGCTAAGTAATTAGTGACTTCGCCAAAAGCCATAAGTAGCTGGTTTCAGAGGATGTACTATTGGTAAAGCAGTCGTTGCAAATATAAACTGAACCGAGATATTCAGCCACGAAGTGAAAAAAAACAGGCAATAAACTACATGTTTCATTGAATGAACCAGTTCGTAGACATACAATAGTAGGACAAGAAAAAGATTTGGCCAGAATACAATACACAGCTCAGTTACAGTCCGCTTTCGAGAAAACCCCAAATAAACACACATTTATGACATTCGTACAATGCTGAAAAGAGCGCATACCACTAAACTAGCATGAGAATGGACCAAGGGAGTAGAACCGGTGGACAAGCAAATAGGAAGTTAAAATGTACTAAAATAGTTTGCAAACGAGTATATCGCCCTAAAAGCATTACTTTCCGAGGGCTTAGAGGGTGACGGAGTAGCGTACTTGGAAGTGCAATGGCAAACATAATATCGACAAGGTTGAACTAGTGAATACTAGACCCACGGACCTTGTAATGATGTTTCAGATAACTTTTTCGAAGCTGTCAGCGTCACTCAGCGCACAGTAGTTACAAGGCATGTATTAAAAGTCCGAATGCTATGGAACGAGTTCGTGCTTCTTCTAACTGGCCGCCTTAAAGCACCGATCAAAACCTTCTGGGATGGATTCTATTCTGGTACAGTCTCAACTTCTGGAGGCATCCAAAAAGTTATCTAGTCTCTGCTGAAAACATCCTTTTCAAAGGAACAACTTCAGACAAAAGTGTTCCGATTGTCCTCGCAGAGAAGGACTACCTGAAAGTGGCCTCTAGAATGATTTACTCCTTAAAAATTTTGGGGGGATCAGCCACTAAACACTGAACTGCAGTAATTAGACGCCATGTATCAAATATTCATATTGTAAGATCCTAACCACTTGAAGGACAGTTCTGTTTTAACGGATTTTACGCCCTGTGTTATATTCCAGAGAAATTTTGTGTCACACAGACATCCGGTGTTATTGTTATTTAGAGTAGAGGGAGGTCTCCCAAGATGTCTCAGCTACACTCCACGTAACTGTTGTTACGAAACCCAATAGGCACGGGGAAATGGAGAAACTTACAGGTGAACTGTCAGACTCGGAAGGTTGTCTCGCAGGGAAAAAACGACTGTACACTCCCTCGTACTTTCGGACAGGGGATAACAAAGTCGAATGTTCCGATTCGGCCTTGCGCGACCTTCCACGTCCTCGAAGTGCACTAGATACAACTGTTGTGCGTGGTGGACGACCACGGCGCCTGCCTGAACTAGGACCGATTTTACTAGATGTAGCTGGAGTCTGAAGATTAAAGAAATTTGCGAAAAGGATGCGAAATGTCAGATAGCCAGCTTTAGAAAAGAGTACGGTCGGGTTTGAAGGTAATTGATCTAATAAGAAAATGAGCCTGGGAACCATGAACGACGGATTAACAGGAGTTGATGGAAAACGTGAACATATTTAGTTGATCGAAACCAACCAAATGACCTTTACATACTTTGATACTGACAGTTTTGACCGCAGAATGACGGCTGTCACTAACTAAATACTAACAAAATGACAAAATAACGGACATGAGTCAGGTGTACTTAAACACGACTGTGGTACCTGCATTAGCATTTCTGGAAACTGATTTGGAACGATTTGAGGACGAATGGTGCGATCGAGGAAAACACTAATAGCTTGGATTGGGACGATGGCTGTCAAGTTGTTAGCTGAGCTGGACACTTCAAGTGAGTGTATGCGGTACAGTTGGCAATTAGTAATCAAATTATCTCCCAAGCTTTCAGAGCGCCATTAACTGTTTTAATGATTATTGAGTGCTGTATATGGAAGTTTGCTCCACTTCCCGGGAGCTCCGGTGGACGGTTTTAAGCGCTGTATATTACCCCCACACTATCCTTGTGCTTATACTGACAAACAGGTCATTATGGGAACCATAACAAATACACTAATATAACTGAAAAATGTCAGAAGCATCTATGACATTTCGCTAGAAGAAATAAGGATGAATTTATACCAAATTGGACAAAGGAATGCGAAAGCTAACCGGTTCATCAGCCGAAGACAGGGAAGTATCCAGTTCACTGATGTCACTTGAGCGGTGGTGTGGTGATGGTTTCGTCCATTCATGATGTACAGGGGAATGAGCAGAAACGACTGGCATATCAATGTCCCCAACTTCTGTTGAGAGGGAACCAAGGTGGGAATGTTGGCTTTTCAGTGAGGCTTCAGATAAAGAGCGTGATTTGACCAAATGTTCCGCCTCTGACGAATAGTTGAGAGGTTCAGTGGATTCGTCTGAGCTGGAAAGGTTGGGTTTTTCGATCACTGAACGCTTCTGGGAACTCAGCGTGGACACATCGGAATCAGACCCCGAGCTGATAAAGACGTGGAATTGAAGATACTCGCACGATGACTATTGATGCAAGGATGTAACCGTATACAGATAAGCAACGACCATAGAGAAAAGTAGACTGCAGCGGACAGCCGAGGGGAGGATCAAGTCTCAACCTTTTAGGGAGCAGTCACAACCAAGTCTGTCAAGTCTCAGGAATGTTAAATTGACTTGACTGTACTACAGGGGTGGTATTAATAAGGAGGGAAGGAGATTTGGAACAGATCGCCACTTGAGAGTGTGATAAATAGTAATAAGACCAATTTTAAAGCAGTCGCAAGGATGTACGGTGGATTGAATGAGTGTATCACACAGAATTCCCGCGACTGCCACTTCCCATTTCTGATGCTCCTCCCATGAACTGTTTGATGTGACCGGAGCAAGCGATTGTAGAACAGTATCCACCAGGTATGTCGAAAACAATAAGATGGAACAATACTACACAGACCTCTGAGAAAAAGTGGATGGAGCCACGTAAAGCAACCGGCTTCCCTGAACTCAGTGATCATCTACCATGATCCGAACTGCCAGGCTATCCTAGCCTAATAGGTGATTTAAACAGTCTCGTGGACGTAGACGCGTCCCACGAGCATTCGAGGAAATATTGGAGGTGAACTTAAGGGTGGGTGCACCCTACAATACTGCTTTTGTAGCGAACTGACGTGGTTTACATCTGTGAGAGGACCTATGGCCAAATATAAGTTGGCCGAAACGCCTACTATGCATTTGAACCATAACCACATTTGATTCATTCGAATCAGGTTGTCCATTCACAAAGTCGTACTACAGAGGGGGTACTGTTTTTTCCACTAGTCATCTGTCCCAAACCGTAAGGTTTTGCAAGTATGTACTGGCAAAAAAGCAATTAGATTTGCACTGTCGACGTACGGTGATCTTTGGTATTTTTCGAAAAACTTCATTGCAATTCAGATTAGGGAGAGGCCGTATATTAAAGGTACTTTTTGCTGAAAGACGCCGAAAGGCAAAGGGGGGTGAAAAGTAGTCGGACTGGAGCTGTATAAGAAAGATTGCTGTACCATTCGTACTCATGGCTTCCTGTCTACCAAACCTCCCCCTGAACCCCCTTCAAACACGCGGCCAGGAGTTCATACATTAACTACAGCCAATATGATTCCGAATCTTATTCCAGTGTCAACCAGAATCAACGAAACTAGCGCTTAATGAAACCTGAACCCTGATTACTCTAACGGCTTTCAACATTCCTATTCCGATCCACAGACGTCCTTCGTCCGAACTCTAACTTTCTCACACTGTCGACGTGCCCTCTAGTGCATGCATGATCCCAACAGCACCACAAATGTCAAGCTTGTTGGACATAGGAAAATGGAGCAGGGCCTGCTCCTCCAGTTGTTTCCGGAAATTCCAGATTTAATTAGCAATTCACCATACAGAGATGAATGGAACGGACACAGATGTCAAAACTGATATTGTAGTTAAGCAGCCTAAGTTAATAACATCAGCCGCTAGAGGACTGCAGAGAAGTCTTGTGTCAAAGAGTGCCTGGTCGTAATACTGCGGAACTTTATTGACCGCGAATACAGTTTCTGAAAGAATCGTCCGGAAAACTGGACCTCAACCAAACAGTATACATATATGGCCAATGGAGTCACCCTTTTCCGACAGTTTCTTGGGTTGGAATTTGCCACACTACCGACTAGAACCAATACCGTATTCGATGAATAGTCGGTTTCGAAACCAGACTCAGCTAACTCGATTTATTAGTGTACCTTAGGGGTGCCAAATTCCATTCGGAACACCTTGAAACCCTCAAACTGTCTACAAATACTGTGGTTCTTACCAGGTATATTCAATTATGTTTCTTGTGCACAGTATCAATCTATTAAATGGTGCTCCTATGGGTGAGACCAATTAGTTCCATTCAAGTAGTGGGTAAGAGACGATGACAACAATGCACCTCGCGCGCACCACATAGTCTGTCTCCAGGATAGACTAACCACTGGACTAAGAAACACGGGAATGAGCGTCCAGAAGAGCAGAGAAAATCGGCAGGCTAAAGGTACACCTCTGGGGAAAGAGCCGACTTGGGCTGACCACGGAACAAAGAGAAGACTTTCAATAACAGATTGACGCTCGGTTTGGAACACACTTGTCGATTTCGACCACGCGCTAGTACGAATTCGCTTATCCCTTCGTTTTCCACGGACGCGTAAGGTGCGGAAAAATCGCCTGGTAACTGAAAGACTGGCACTGACGAATTTACCAGCATTGTCTTCTAGGGCGTCTTCCAAATGCTCCAACATCAGATGTAAATTCATTCTGGGACGAGATCGCCACCCCTTCGCATATTGTTGGGAGCTGTGTCCTTGGCACGTTCCAAACATATGAAGATGGTTGTGGGATGAAAGCAGCGGCACCTTACGCTATACAAGCAAGGATAGTTTAGTCATCACAAGAATAAGAATAAGAGTTTGTTAAGCATCAGCCCTATCGATCGGTACCAGTAGGATTGGGTCAGAATAAAACAAGAGGGACGAGAGGTCGTGGAAAATCTAAAATACTAAGAAAACTATGTTACTACGATCACTTACCTTGAGGCAAATACATCTGCTACACGGGAAGGTTCCTTCCGTTGAGGTGAAGTCTCCGGTTTTCGTTGTCGATCCTCTGTGTTTCCATCTCTGTCGCAGGAGCGAGAATTTTCCGCTGAGGACGACCGAGAACTGGGAGTCCGGGGACGGACAGGAGAGTGGTCCAAACTTGAACAGCTATCGCTGGTCAATCTCCGCTGGCGCCTGTGAAGTCTCGCTCGTCCAGCTTTAGCTGGAGAATTTCGAGGCAGCTGGTCATTGTCTGTTTTACGCAACTCATGTGCTATCAACCGCAGAAAAGCGGGGGAACCATTGAGGGACATGAAATAGCGGTGTTCAAAATAGCCAAAAACGGATGTGTTTGTGGTTCAAGTACGGTTTAAGTACCACGGACCAAAACCAGTGGCGTGATTCCGTTCGTACTAATACCAAGGTAAAAATTATGCCGCGCAATTGGTATAAACGAACACTGAGAAATGTTATTCATACGATGAAGTGAAAGAATGTAGAAGCAAAATGTTCACTCATTTGCATACAAGTTTGGTTTGGACAGGAGACTCACCTGGAACCCAGCTGAATATCTAGTTTATGATGTTTTTAAGCAACTAAATATGCTGCACCAGGCCGCATCGTAGTTCAGTTGGCACGATATTCGAGGTGTCACGATACACTTTATAGACACAATACACTACTCATGAGGTTGCTGAAATTTCCTCGACAGCCCGAGATCGGTTCAACCTTTCTTGGGGTTCACCAGTTAGGGGCAGTCCCAGGTTCCCGTCGACCTGATGTTCTAGTTGAACCTTAATTACGCGAAATTAGCGAAATATGGTCATTTGCGTACCGGTTTGGTTTTGATGGAAGACTCACCTGGAACCTAGTCGAATCTCCCGTGGGCTGTCGAAGGGTTCTCAGCAACCTTGTGAGTAGCGTATTAATTCCGGACAATACCTCCTTACAAGACCACTGAGCAGTACCACTTGGGTGAAAAAAACACCATAATGTCACTTTTCGAACAAAATAAAATCACACGAAAAATGTGGGCAAATGTGACAACGATTAAATGCAACCTCAAGCAAGACTACCAAACATTCTTCAAAAGGGCACAAAACACCTATTGATCTCCTCTGGGTTTGGAGCAATGTTTTTCCTTGCCAGAACAATCGTTATTTCAGGAAAAGAGCTTTTGTTCCGTCGTCTCGTGGTGCCTTATGTGGTGGAAGCATAATCTACGTGAAAAATCTTTAGTATGCTTTTCTCAGATCATTTTAGCAGTATACACTTAATCTTATTGAGTGGCCTGATGCCATGGTGCATATTCGAAGGTGTAAGTTGTGTTCGGTCAGGGACTGACGAACACTAGTGTACTGCTTTGCTTTGGCTGAGCATAACAGCCTATCCGGCTCTAATCAGTAGGCGCAGAGAGTCTGAGGTCGCAGACGCAACTATGGACGCCCGGATGTTGGAGGCTTTGTTTCTATTGGATTGCTACGCCATCGAGGTAGTGTTTCCAGCTCGATTACTTGAATGGAAATTATTGTCCAAGGGAAAATTAATGACGAAATTCCTCCTGGAAATACTTCGAAACACAACCTCTTCTCAACGGCGAATTTAATGTTTGAAAAGATTCAGAATAGCCAGAACCACTGCTCTGTTAGGGATTATTTCCATACAGGAGTTTCCTATATAAAGGACGCAATGTAGTGCACGAATTGCTTGAAACAAAACTACACACATAGCATACCTACCGATGGACGTAAAAACGAACTAACCACTAGCGAATCAATGATTCACACAAAAACGCATGAAACAAGGCTTGCTGAAGGAAATGTGAAAGTTCTGTGGGTTGGCGACAGGCGACTTTGGAAAGCCAGATCGACCGTGCATTTCCTTCCACATAAGGATGCTGGTTCACAATGACTTGCACATCTAGTTGTTTTGCGTTAACAGTCACCGTGCGGTGAGGCCAGACGTTCCGACTGAAGACCTAACAGTCACGCACAGACTTCAGTGACTTGATAATGTCCAGTGTTGCCTGGCTGTGGCATCACCAGTAAACAACAGCAAACTCACTACGTAAAACAAAGTTAAGGTGGCCTGAATCCAGAATACGTGATTCAGTGAAACTCCAGAAAGTTCTTTATTGGGCAAAACTTTCTTCTTGAAAACCTTTTGTGGATCGTCTGTCAACCGAACAACTCATGCTACCGGGCGCATTAAGCAGACTTAAAACCTCAATCCAGCAGGTCACCAGCCGGTCTCCAAGGTATTATCGTTCAGCTATAACACCGTTTCGGTGCCTATCTGCCATGCCGCCCGAAGGAAGCACGCGGGCTGAGATACTGGCAGGTTGCCCAAGCCTAGACAGAGGAAGTCGAGATGCAGAGGCCGGGTTCGGATCAAGGGCCGCTTGGTTAGTAAATTCGCGCCGTAACCACTCAGACATCTCCCCTCGCCTCCATGGCATTAGTAGCTTGTTGAAGATACAGCATTCTATTTAAGACTAGCTTCTCTATCAATGTTATACTGGAAGCGCACTTAGGCAACGCGGAAAATGTAATGGGTTGTAAAAGATGGAGCTGCCGTAGACACAATTCGCACAATAGACGGTAATTTCATTGAACTAGTCGTTTGTAGTTTAAAGTGATCGAAAATCGACGGATTACGAGTTAGTTACGGCAGGCATCTATTTTGGTGTTGTATTAGTACCACGTTTTAAGCTCTCATCTACTGGTGGTCGCACTCACAATTGAACTTCACTGTAGATTTGTACATCTAACTTGAAAGTGTCTGGGAACACTAGTGATATTAGTTTTAGCTATAACTTCCGGCCTGTTGGTTGAGTTGTATAGGCCCCGATATCCACAAACAATTGAGGCAGCTAAGAACAAAAATTCAGAGTAAAAATAATTCAGGGGACGAGTGAATCTTCCATCTGAGATATCACTCGAGAAGCCAGTCAACACGTGACTACGTGACATGAAAGTCGCAACTGAAGAGATGGTGACCCCAAAACGGGACATATTATGGGTTAGAGGCATTGTCAGATGTTGCCCAATCTCGCCCTCAATAGCGCTTGTGCATCCAAGCTGTTGCCTTCGACGCATAGCTCCCGTCCCTATACCCCCAGTTACAAATCCGCTGACACCCCTGTATTTATGCATCAATCATAACAGCTGCTTTCAATGCGTGGCCATCTCCCCACCTCCCGGAATCATGGGCAAATGAAACTGTGGCAGCCATAACCACTGCACAACAAGTTCCTGTGTTTATAGTTGATGATGAGGGGGAGAGATGGTCCAAGTGGTTAGAGCGCGAATTTACTGAACAAAAGGTCTGTGTTTCGAATCCGACCTCTGCCTCTCGACTTCCCCTGGGCTTGCTTGGGCAACCTGGCAGTATCTCAACCCTCGTGCAACTTTCCGGTAGCATGGCAGTTGATGATGATGACGCCGCGCCGCGTAACTTTATGAACGCTGTCAAAGATTTGCACTTGATAGATCATGATAAAGTTGCTTTTTATCTACAATGTGATCACAATTTCCGGTAGCCGATGCAGCTATGTTCAATACTTTGTGTTCCTTTTCCAAAGCTTCTGACTGTGTAGACGTTTACAACGAACTGCTAAAAGTTTTCCTGCAACTGGTGGGATTCCTGCCATCTGCCCTCAATTTTACCATCGATATCATCACAGAATGAACATTACAAGGCACCGATGATCTCGGTACCGAGATAAAATTTAGTGAGTAATTATTAGATTCCGACTACGCGGATCTCAATGTCTTGTAGTTTGACGACCACCAGTCCTAAAGAATCTGGGAAGCGATTACTTGGTTCAGGCTGCGTTTGGTAACTTCAAGGTGTTTCATGATTTTCAGTCCCCCGTTTCCACTGGGAACTTCATTAGGAAAAAATTGAGTTAGTTGATCAATTTGCATATACGAGCAACTGCACAAGCTGTGACAGAACTGTTACATAAGCCGGTGTACGCGCTGCCAGGGCGCAAGAATCATTGGTGAATGCGTGCACCAGAAACGAATTTCACTTAATCTAAGGGGCCGTGTGTACAATGGAGAAGCTGAGAGACCTTAAACGGCTTCAAACGTCTGATTGTCGATGCCGTCGTATCATAGCAGGCATTAGTTGGATTCTGCACGTACACAATAAAGACGCAAACGAGTGGTTCGTAATGAATCACTAGAGTAGCAACTAAAACTTGTCGGATTCAGAGAGCCGGGACTTGTATCACGTGTTCAACCATGGTGTATCAAAAAAGCACCATTTTGTTCTCTAAACTCTGATCAACGAAAAATTCACGGGGAATAGACAATGACAACACGGAATGCAGGTGGCTACTCTCGAGCTGATTGTTGGAGGATCTTCACAACTTCCTGATTGGGGTCCACACGATTCACTTTGAACGTGCTTAAAGACCCCACAAGACCTGGTACGAGTTTGTTGCCACCTACTAGTTGGACTATCCCACTAATGTCAGCCCGTCGCTGAATACTAATCATACTAAGTAGACCCAGAAAGAAGGATGGGTCCGTCTCACTAATAATAATAGAAATAATGGTTCATTTGTAACACCCTTTTGTGCCTAGCTGCCATGCCAACCAAAGGAGGCACAAGAGCTCAGGTGATGCTGGGTTACCGAAGCAAAGACAGGAGAAGTCGAGATGCTGGTGTTGGGTTCGAACCGCGGACCTTTCGTTGGCACCGGACCTTAACCACTGAGCTATCTCGAACTCCGTCAATCTCACTGGTGGAGTCTTACTTCGATATTATGCTCAAATGTTTATCGCGTTGCTATTAAAAACACAGAGACATGACAGTTTTTCATTGGACAATACCGCTCTGCTAACAAGATCCGCACCTTCCCTCTTTCTCTACGATGTTTTTCACTCACAAGGATATCCTTCCACACGGTCAAGTGACAGTTAGTTACCATTGTTTACTGTTATTGTTGCCGATGATGGTGACAATTGTCGTAATGCCAATACTGGTTATACCAATGATAACCATAGTAGCTTGACGACGATAGTATGTAATGACGCGCGCAACCGCACAGTTATTCGCATCAAAGAAATAAATAAAACCGAGATAATTATGAGCAAACCAAAAACTAAGAATATCACTCAAGATGGCACAAGATCTCGCTGCATTTTATGCTCTTTTTACTTAAGAGGCACTGGTACCTTTTGAGTGGCAGGTAAGCAACTAACCTCAGTTCGAAGTATACTCATGAGGTCTCTATCGTAATACGAAGTTAAAAGTGGAGGGTAGTGGCTGTCAGGTGAACCAGAACAAAAGGATTGTGTCTGAACACCTTAACTTATGGGGGCTAGTGATTGAGCAGCCTCCCGGCCAAAAACCAGTGCGAAAGAAAAGACAAATGAACAATGTGCGGTAGATCACAGACGAGAGCTGATAATTTAGATGATTAACCTGCACTAAGTGAAATCACCAAAATCTAAGAAGGGTAGCAGATGAATCCAGGAATATTTTTTAGAAAAATGCACATAAACATGATCTCTTCTGACCTGGACTCTCCCATTCCCGATCATGTTTACTAACAGCTCGCACATCCGCATCGGTATCAGAATCTGTACTGCTTGTATCACTAGCACTGCTCCTCCTACCGGTCGAACGACGTCTCGGCTCGGGATCTAGAGTATCGTTCTCGCTTTCATTCGCCGACTCCGACCTACCACGTTGTTCTGAGTGTTTGGCAGATCGCGAAGGTTCCGGAGAAGGAGGTCGCGGCTTCCTCCGGATCTTGGGCAGGGGTGCCCTCAGGCCGGTGAACAATCCGAATCCGAATAGGTTGAATCCGGGCTGCACAGAGGTTGTGGGCACGGATGTGCACGGTGTGGTGGATGTGATAGAAGTTGAAAGGGACGTGGTTACAACGACAGAGGAAGGTAAAACACCTGTTTTCTGGGAGGTCTGAGTGAGTTGTTCCGCAGGAATAGCGGGTTCGGATGCGGGATGTTGTGTATCGTCACTGAGGTTTGTTGTGGAACGGCTTGAATGAAGTCCGGAAGTATCCAGTGGTGCCTGATTGGATGGGATTATAAACAGCCAGAGTTTGTTATAAGGATGAATACACGAAAGATGTCAGAAAAGTGAAAAATGTAGAAAGATGTGCACCAAGCTACTATATCTGTGCTTGACACTTACTTCGAGTTAAATGGAGAATATTATGGACAACTCAAAGGAGGGCCAATGGGATCACCAATTGAAGAAATTACAATGAAGAAGCAGACAGTGCTACTAGACACTAAACAAAAATATGGTAGGATGTGCGGAAGACACATTTGCCATTGCAAAGAAAAATCAACTGTCACGAGCGATTCAAGTGCTGAACAACGTGCCTCTCGACATCCACTTCACAGTGGGAACGGAGGAGAACAACCAATTGGCGGTCCTAGATGTGTTCGTCACGAGGACAATAGACGGCCAACTGCAAACAGAACTATACAGGAAAGAAACACAACCATCTGAAATGTCACAAACGAAGATGCTTTCGAACCCTATTCAAGCGTATTGAGACGCATTGCAACACAACAGGGTCGAAATAAATAGGGGCGAAAACTTTACCAGATATTCCAAAATAATGGCTAACGGGAAACTTCATATGGAGATGCTTACAAGACCAACACCAAGCTGATTCGCCAACACAGTCAGAAGAGAGAAGCATTGCTCTGCACGATAACAAAAACGTCGCGGAGATGACTGCCAGACATTTACGGCAACAAAGAATGATAGTCGCCTTCAAGCCTGTAAAGACGTTGAGAAGAACCCCCTTGAAACCAAAAGGAAGGTTGAATGTAACAAAGTGGACGAATGTATTCTACAAACTTCAGTGTGACTCCTTTAGTTGTGTGCTGACCACGAACTGTTTCTGGCAAATAAGAACTTTCAACATAAACGTTCGCACCGCGTAATCTGGCGGCCGCCAACTACAAATCAACCGTGGACCCAGTTGGACCACGTGACCATCAGTCATCGGTGGAAAGCCACAATTCAAGACTGCCGTTCTTCCTGGGGCGCACCACTTGATTCCGATCACGCCATGGTGCGCGCACGCCTGACAGTTCGTTTCCCTTCAGGCCACTGCAGGTCGGCAAGCAGCATGCCAATCCACTATCTTCGAAGAACTGCCATAGCTCAACAGTATCGATCCGAGCTAGCCCAACAACTCTCCACAGTAAAACAATACTGTGGTGGCAGTGAGCATGTGGATGAAGCGTGGCACAATGTGAAAGGAGCTATACTATCGGCGTTCAGTGCTGCCTGCCCGACTTCTCCCATTCGACCACAAGACCACTTGATGTCGTCGAGGTCGTTATCCATGATTGGTGCCAGGAAAGCCATACCAGCAGACAACGAGTACGACGGCACACGCAAATCCCTCAAACGCCAAATAGTAAAGAGTCCAAGGAAAGACAGAGAACTCTGGTGGACATCGAAAGCTCGGGAGATGGAGAAGGCTTTTGCTACGGGAAACAGCCGTGCCCTTTATCAACTGATACGATCGACTGGCCCTAGGAAAGCAACGGTCAGCGAAACGATAAATGAAAAAGATGGCTCATTAATTCACTCGCAAAAACGTCGACTG